GTGATGAAGGTGAATCCCATCCCAGTAAGGTCACAATCAAGGTGAGATATTGCCTGATTGCACTGTATAAGGAGAAAGGGTTCAGGATTTGTACCGCCTTGGTAAATGAATCTCTGGGGAAGGAAACAGTGGGGAGAGAGCACAAGTGCACCAAGACATGGCTGCACTTTCATCTCAGAACATCTAAAGCCTAGGGTCCAGTTCTTCTCTGCAGGAGACAAGTGTCTCCCATCCCACTGACCACCCTCTACAAGGGGTTGAGCCCACAAAGGTGGTGAATATCTCCATTCACCTAGCCCAGGGTGACTTGTGCACACTTCCTTTGTTACCATGCATCAGTGCTGGTTCCAGGGGTGGGTGAAGCTGTCCCTTTGTTAGCTGCATTAGCAATTGACCAAAGTCACATCCAGGGCAAGGGCAGAAGACATAAGCTGATGAACTGTTTGCTGACAACAAAACAACTCAATGAATAAAAGGGATCTATTATCATAGAGCAGATATAGGTGAGCAGTGCCCACTGCTCTGTTCCTATCACCAGCACCAGAATATCAAGTGACCCAGTGGTAATACCCCTCATAATGGGGCATCCTGGCCAGCAGCAAAGTGTAGAACCAGGCCCTCGTGCCCTCTTATGAGGGTATCATTTCCCCATCTCCAGCCTAGGGGGGGAAGCTGTGTAATATGGCTATAAACCAGGGGTGAACAATTATTTGGGCCCATGGACCACATAGGGAGTTTTGGTGAGCTGTCACAGGCCAGGTCAGTACCCTGTTCCCCCCACACAACAGCTCACCAAAACTTCTTAAGTGGACCCCATGTGTGGCTGGGATGGGGCTGCCATCTGGGAGTCACCCCAAATGGGCTAGAAGTGCCATCTGGGAGCGGGACAAGCAGGCAGGGGTGGGGCCTGGGGCAGAGCTGTAATCTGCTGCCCACAGGCCCCTGCAACAGGCACCAGTTGTGCAGGCAGGGGTATATGGGGTGTGGATTGCAGCTCTGCCTGGGTCCCCAACCCCATGCTGTCACAGCCCAATGATCCCAGAGTCTCCATGGAAGCCAGTCAGGACCTGCGTGGGCAGGGTGTGAGACCAGGCAGAAGGGATGAGGATGCGGGCAGGCAGGGAGCAGTGTTCAGTGTTGGGTCCAGAGTCTTGGGGCAGTGACAGTGCAGGGCCAAAGGCAGAGCTGCACACCCTTGCCCGTGGAACCTGTGCCCGTTGCAGGGCCATGGGGGCAGTGGATTGTGGCTGTGCCTTGGCCACACGCTGTCACCACCCCTCAATCCCGCCCTGTGATCCCAGCCTCACCCACCCATCCTGCTCCCAAGCACTGCTCCCTGCCTGCCCATGGCCGCATCCCATCTGCAGAGTCTAGCACCTTGCCTGCATGGGTCCTGCCTCTAGTGGTTGGTGCAGGGCAGACTTGCTGGGCTGCTCAAGTAGCAGGACCAGGTCCAGCAGTGGCAGCTGCCAGGAGGAGCCACCAACACAGCACAACTGCTGTGCTGCCCCAGCCCTGCTACATGCCCAAGGGCAGCAGTACCAGCTGCATGTGCCAGGCCCCAGGCTGCCCCCTGCTTCTGGGCTGGGCAGGACAAAATCTCTTCGCAGACCAGATCTGGCCCATGGCTCAGGTTTTGCTCACCCCTGCTATAAACTGTTCTTCTTTGGACCTGTCTGTTGCATCAGCGACTGATTTACTGGTCATTCCCATGCCAACCTGGGTTTGTAACTTTTGTGGGTCAAATGCTGGTTAACCAATAGACTTCTAAATACGGAACTGTCATTGAATGGGGGTGTTTCTGATGGGGTCCCATAGGGATCTGTTTATGGATGAGCACTTTTCAAATGCTTTCGTCAATGATCTGAAGAAAATGACAGGGACAGATATGCAGGCTGAGCTGGACTGAATGCTAAGGTGAACTCATTTGAATAGCATGTTTTAATACAGCCAAATGCCAGGTCTTTCATCTAGGAACAAAGAATGCAGGAAGGACTCATGTATATCACGAGAGACTGTGGAATGCAGTAACATGAGAAAGGGCTTTAGAGGTCAGGGTAAATGACCAACTGAACATGAGGTCTTGGTGTGATACTGTAGCTGAGAGAGAGAACATGATTCTTGTATGTATAAGCAGGAAAATTTCAAGCCGGAGTTGGGAGGTGGTCTTATCAATACTGCATGAAAATATGATACCACTGCTGAAATACCAAACTATGTGAGGTCTGGAAAACACAGGTTACAGTGAAAGAAATGAGAAGCTCAATCCATTTTGTTCATCCAAGAGAAGGATAGGTGGTGACCTGATCAAAGTCTGCAAGTACCTGAGTAAGAGAGAAATTTCTTATAGCAGAGTGGCTTTAATCTAACAGAAAAAGTCTGAATGAGATCCAAAAGGTGGAAACTGAAACCAGGCAAACGTGTATTTTAAAGACTGAGAGTAACTGACCATTGGACCTACTTAACTAGGCATGTGGGGGATTCTCTATCATATGAGATTACTAAATCAAGACTGGATCTCTTTCTAAAATACAGTCTACACATCAGGCAGAAGCTATATGCTCAATGCCTAATTCACTGTGTGGGTGTTCTTAGTCCTGTGATTCAGAAAACATGAGACTGTGGACAGTTCAGAGAAAGAGAAGGCATCTGGATGCAGAGATGGTATTTGGTGATAGGACATTTCTTTCTCAGGTGCAGGGCAGAGAGCTGCAGTATGCTATGCTCTATTCACCGTCTTTCCCATCTGATTTGTCTCTCTCATCACCTTGTTGCATCTTGTTTGCCGTGTGTATTGTGAGCTCTTTGTTGTCTTTGTCACTTGCCTGTACAGCACCTAGCAGAATGAGGCCCTAGTTTTTCACTAGGGTCCCTGTGCCGGTAGAAATGATAATAAAAACACAAGTGAATGGGGAGACAGGTGAGACTGATGTGTGGAGGATTACAACAAATGATACTGGGTTGGGTTTCCAACTGTAGGACAGTCTAGCACTGCTGTTATAGTTGGGTCTCTTTGATTGCAACACTTATTTGTGTTTTAAGCTGAACTGGTGCTTGAAGTCCAGGATCAAACACTGCAGTTTCCTTCCAGCTTGTAGAAGGTGCAGATTACTTCACTGGTTTATTACAGAACTAAATTAGGTGCAATATCCCTGAAGAACAAACACCTTGAGGTCAGAGACCAGCAGGCAAGCCCTGATCAAATACTACCTCAGCCAGTTCCTGTGTAAACAGATTAAAAGGGGTCCATAGCCACCCAGAGAAGCTTCTGCAAGAAACTGCAGGGCATTCTTACAAGTGGTTACCCAGATTTTTTTGTGGGGGATGCTATAGTATCACAGTGTTGTCTTTGGTTCTGATAATCTCCTTGGGAGACCTCCAAAAGTCCAGACATTTATGAAGTGGTATCAGCAATTAAGTAACTGTGAGCCAGCACTAAACTGATTGCCCAGCCTGGTACTGTATTGCTGGAGATGTCCTAATTCAGACATGTAATACTGGACCCCTGGACATTTGCTGATGGAAGGGCCTGTGATATTTGCACAAAAGCACATTACCCCATAACCTACCCAAGCTAGGTAAGCTCCCTAAAAACCTTCAGCCATTTCCTTTTGAGTACCAGTTGCTTTTTCCATTTCTCTCCTAATGTGCCATAGGGTATTGATTATGCAGCAGTAAATCAGCACTCCACAATCTCTGTGATGATCACGGTATAAATACATAAATGACAGGCACATCTGATAGGATTTTGGCCAACTGCAATCAGTAGCATTCCAGTGAAGCCAACAGAACTAGTCTAACACCAGCTGCAGAGCTGACCAGGAAAACTGCTACCACAGCTACCACAAAGCAGAGCTTTGCCCATCCATTCTGTTTTGCCTGTGCAGATGACACCGGTTTCCCTTGAATGTTTGGTGGCCTGGAAAATCCCCCAGGGCTCTTCTGGAGTCAAGGAAAGTTTGATTAATTGGAAGTGGTGCACATAGCTCACCTGGCATTTGGCCTGGCTGGTGTGTCTCTGGACAGCATTAGACACCGCCTTCTTTGCTAACTGAAGAATGGTGTAGATCTGCCCTGCTGCCCAGATAGAAGCTGCTCTATTGTACATACAGTTCTATACAGAAAGAATGGGAGAATAAACTCTGGGTAACAGAGTAGCAGAAACCAAGCTGTGCCTACTCAGGAGCTGTGGGATGA